TCGGGCACACACGCAGGAAGCTACGCCCTGCCTATGTGCACGGAGCTGCGTCCCAGGGACAGACACAGAGGGGACCCCACATGGCCAGACAAGGATGCTTCCCGTGTGTCAAAGCCAAGGTAAAACCCACGGGTGCCTGACACTGAGTTGCGTGGAGCCTGTGTGGAAGCGGGTCCCGCTAAGTTGCTGGGTGAGGCAGAAACAAAATCAGCCTATTAAAAAAAAAAAAAAAAGCAAGCAAGCAAGCAGTCCCTCTTTCCAAACCATAAAGAGGCCCATTCCATCTCGGTGTCTTAGCGGCTCTTATTTACCAACCCCCTCTCTGCCACTCTCTGCGACAGTTCATTATTGTTGTCCTGATGAATACAGGACAAGTTAACCTCTGAATGGGTCCCGGCAGCAGGAATAATAAATGGGGGCCTCTCTTAAGTGGGAGGGTTGGAGGGGCCTCCTGGGCTCTAGGGCCCCCTCTCGTAAAGCTGCAGGCCTCCCAGGGTCAGCGGTGGCAGCTCCACTTGGCAACCCCAGAAAGCGCCTTTCACGGCCGGGAGCCTGGGGCCATTTTCACATTTACCGCTTCACCGAGTCCCCATCTGACGGGGATGAATAGGCATTTAGCGCATTTACTTAGCGATGCTTCCACATGAAATCGTCTCAAAAGATGACATCTTTGGGGAGGGAGGGTGGATGGGGAGGGGGCCCAGTATCCAGGCCCAGAGCTTGTGGGTAAAGCTGCTTTTCAAAGCCCAGTGTTGTGTGCTGGGCAAGGGCTTGAGCTGGCATTGGCTGGGCGGGATGGGCGAGGGGACCCCTGCCTTGCCCCTCCCAGGGGCCCAGCTCCCCTCATTCTCCCTCTGTGTAAAATGCCTGCTGGGAGTGCTAAAGCCTGTCTCCCAGTCCTCCAAAGGGAGATGGGATTTGGCTGGGGACCAAGTTTTCCCATTGTTGCTTTCAGACGCCTGTCGATAATTGCCTACATAATATTTAGTTATCTACGGATAATTAACAGCTTGAGATCTGTTGACGTTTTACCCTGTTCCAGTCTCTCTTTCTCTTCCCCTCTCATCCACATTTCTCCCTCCTCTTTCTCGTAGAGGCTTTTGCCAAGTGGCTCCCACAACTCATCCCTTCTACCTATCTCTGTCCCTCTAACAATTTCATTCTACCTTTGGCTGAAATTATTTGAAGACATGCCTCTTGGTGTAGGCCAGCTCCTTGTGTCTGATTCATGACGGTGACGCTGGGGCCCATCACAGTAACCACTGAGCCATGGGGAACTCTTTGTTGAAAGAAGTAATAAACACATATTAAAATGAACTCATTGGAACCATATGGAAATCTCTGTGGAGATGAATAAACAAATGAATAATAAAATAAGCTCCCAAACCACAACCATTTAGTGATGGTGCACCATGCCCCAGACCCTGCGGCAGACCTGTTCCGTATTTTATTGCATTTAATACGCACAAACCAACAGAAAACCAAACCAGTTGTTGCTGAGTCAGTTCCGACTCATAGCGACTCCGTGTGTGTCAGAGTAGAACTGTGACCCATACGGTTTTCAGTGGCTGATTTTTTTGGAAGTAGATCACCAGGCCTTTCTTCTGAGGTGCCTCTAGGTGGACTCAGATCTCCAACCTTTCCGTTAGCAGCCAATTGCATTAACCATTTGCACCACCCCAATATATACAAAACCTGTTAAAAAGCAAACCCGTTGCCATCGAGTTGATTCTGATTCACAGCGACCCTGTAGGACAGAGTAGAACGCCCCATAGGGTTTCCGAGGCTGTAATCTTTTTACAGAAGCAGGCTGCCACATCTTTCTTCCATGCAGCAGGTGGTAGGTTTAAACAGCTAACCTTCTGGTTAGCAGCCGAGTGCTTAACCATGGCGCCACCAGGGCTCCTTAATACACACGAAGACCCTATGAGATAGGCAATTTTCATCCCCATTTTACAGATGGGCAGCTGAGACTCAGAGAAGACAACCATTTAGTGAAGAGCAGAATCAGAACTGGAACCTGGTTCCAAATGCTGTCAAAGTGTATGCCCTTCACTACTAGGCTGTGTCTACAAATGACAGAGAATGAATGAATGAATGAATGAATTCCAGATGCACAAGAAAAGATATGGGTGCTCTAATGCCTTGCTACTCACGGTGTGGTCCGTGGACCAGAAGCATCAGCTTTGCTGCTCTTAGAAATGCCGTTCTCTACATGCATCACAGTGTGCCTTTTAACAGGTGATGTGTGTGCCCTTTAAAGTTTCAGAAACACGGCTTTCCGTCAACTATGAATATCAGCAGCTGATTCTCTTCCTCTTTCCTTCTTCATCTTCTCCCCAAGGTCTCTGCGTGAAAGTCCAGACTTCAAGC